TACAAAGATACTTTGTCCAAGCATGCGCATGTGCCCGTCTGTGTTTGCGTCTTCATTTATTAGCATATTTGTACTAAACAAACAGTGAAAGCTTAAAGTAATTATGATGGAACATAACATCTGTTCACGGTCATCAAGGATAAATGAAGCATTTTTACTTTCACATTCACTTGAAATGGAAGTGAGCTCAATAATTATGAATCCAAATATAGTTCGAGTATAGTTTGTATTTGTCATTGTAATCAACAATACTACTATAAATGGGATGAGTAGTTTCGCCATGCACCAACTCCGATTTGGCAGTTTAGTCGTCACGGTCAGGCAAGATCTGCAAGCAAAATAAGGCTCTGTGATTGCCTCCTACAGAATCCTACCTTGAAGCCATCTTTCTGGACACTATTTGTCCATTTTCTACTTGTCCTGCGCTGCTGACTGCGGTGGACGAGAGAAGACTAAACCCCACACGATAAAAAGGGTCGTCAAGAAACTCCGTCAGGTCTGGCCGTCAAATACCACCTAAGACATCGTTTAGCCCCCTTGGCAACCTCCTTCCCAATTAACCGGGTTCAGCTTCGGCACTTGCGGTTTCTACTTTCCAGCTACGAGACCTCATCCAAATTAATTGCCGAAAAGGCATTAAAGATATCGTCTAAAAATCAGTTTTATCGTGACTTGTTGCGAGTCTCGATAACCTGATCCGGTCGCTATTGTGCTCTACTTCCTCAGAGTCGGAGCAACAGGAAAGCTCTGCCAAACCAGATCGAGCTTTTTGCCTAGTATCTTCTTCACAACGCCAATGTGTGCTTGGCTAAACTCGCATTGCAAACTCTTCGATGGTACCACCTACTCCTGACACACCAACTATAAAATCGATTATCTTCTTCTTATGCAGACCGGTTAAGAACAGATGAAGTGTATAGCAGAGTGAAGAGTAGGTACTGCTAACTGAGGATGCTTCAACCGCAATCAATTTTGCAAATAATGTACAAGGGCACCTACGCAGTTAGTCGTCATATATCCTGACTTTTCTGTCTTTCTACGCCATACACACCCGATTGGTGAATGCTAATTCTGCAGCCTTCTGTGTGTACTCTAAGAGAGGACCCAGAAGGGCAAGTGAGCCAGGACGAGTCGTCTTGCTCACGGATGAACGCGCAGATGCGAAGGAAACAATCGCCATCGACACCAGCCCCACTCTCGGTGCAGCTTCTCACCTGGAGAATGTCGATCCCGGCGTTTGGTCGGAATCCTTCTCTCCGAGAGAGTCTACCAAAGCCACGGAGGCAATAGCGAATGGCACATCTGAGGCCTGTACAGATCAGCCTGCAGTGAGATTGACTCTTCTTTGTTGGCTCACACCTACTGTACTCGAAGTAGGGAGGATTTGGAGACTAGCAGTAGATTTTGAATAAGAGCTTTAGTCGCCCTAGTTTGCTTAACGTGATGAAGTAGTGCTTACTAATTATCCCACATTCTGATGTCTGTGAAGTTCACTTGACCTCGCCTTCAAGCGGCATTCTTACACACGGCTTCGACTACTTTAATCTGAACTGAGTAGTAGGTGAGTAGTAGTTCAGTGCAGAAATATTCTCACAAAGATGCGGACTGGCAGAGGCCTTCCGATCTCACCAGCTTTTCGGTAGCCCATCAATGCCGGATTAGACTAGCTTAAAAGCGAACATACTTTGCGTTCGAGCCTCACGGAGAGGAGTAAAGCAATTCACTGTAACCACATCAACAGTCTGCTCAAGTGCCAACCATGCAAGTGATCGGTCTGCTTTATTACAGCATTATGCGTGATTGGGAGCTTGGCCTACTCTGCCTTGCTGCCTGGGTCGAGCTCAACCGGTCTCTCTTTCGCACTAAGGCCAGACAATTGACCTAGCAACTAGGCCGAGTCCCGTCGGGGTTAGGGATGGGATTATGGTGGGCACAAGCCTTATCGTGGCTCGAATAATGAGACGAGTTTTAAGAGATACCGCAGACAGAACTCCATCGTCCCTACTCAGGGTTCCTCGTTGCCAAGCTCAATTATCAAGCTCTGGAACACAAATATGCATATTCTACCTTCGACCGAATATATATATATATATATATTAGAGAGAACAGCCTATATATATATATAAATATAAAGAGAGAACGGCCTATATATACATATAAGAGAGAACAGCATATATATATATATATGACGATTACTTTTATTGTCATTCCTCAGTGAACTTAATCTCATTTCATCTCATCTTTTTTACATTTGAAGTGATGCGAATCAGGCACTGTTAATTGGTTATGCAAAGTTGTTTGACAGCCCTCCTACTCTTGGCATCATCTGGCAAAACGGTATAAATTATTGCAGAAACGTACCAGCTACTGATATTTGAGTTTTTCCACAAGCCGATGAATAGGCCTCATAATGCCAAAGAATATTACTTGGCCTTGCCTCCCAAATGTTTGGCTCATCCCGGCTGCGCTTCAGATTCCACCTCGTCTAGGATCTTTTCAGCGCCCTCCAACGAGTTTCGATACCATTCGAGAGTGTCACCGTAACGCTAATTACTGCACTATGCGGCCATGGATGCCAGTGTGTAACTGGACCGAAGCGATAGTCAAGGCAACCCGGGCTTATCCCAACTCACACTTTGTATTGGGATTGATAATTGGGAAAGCATGTGTTTGCCACCAAGTTCGACGGCATTACTTAACTTTCATCGAAGGTCTGAGGGCCAAGATGGTGTGGCCTTTTGTGTGGTCACAGTCTTCTTTCGTTGTATAGAAGTTGTTTGACCTTGTTTTCGCAAC